GAATACGCATTAGAGGTGTTGTTAGTTACAAAGTTTATATAGGAAATCCTATACCATGATCGGGCTTCGGTATACCGAGTATTTTTCAACAATAATACGTCATTTTTGGCTCTTTGGCAAGATATTGAGCTCCCCTTGAGCATACAGTGAAGAAATTTCGAAAAAAATTCAGTGGAGATGGTTCAATCCACCCAATTTTGAACCAATGTGCACATTTTCTAAAATCAACATTTTTCAAAATTGGTCAACATTCGAAAAAGCGTGTATTTGGCCGACCAGTTTTTTAAGATTTTTTACATAACCAACTACAACATGCTTGGATTTTATAAATTTTGTTCATTATAACAACTGATATCACATAATTCGGACCCAAGGAATCCAATGAGGGCAATCTTTTTGAGAAATTGGTTTGATTTGTTTGAGATAATCGGCCTAGAAACTACACCTTGAAATGATATTTTGAGGGCTTTATTCAATTGAAGAAAATGAATAAAAACATTGGTACAATTAGTTTTGAATAGATTTGGTAACCATACATACTCCTAGAAATTTCTCCTTTTGTTTCAAAATTTTACAAAAGCTATTGAAAATGCAAAAAAAATTTCGAGAGCAAACAGAAAATCCTAATTTAATGTAAAAACAAATGATGAAAGTATGGCAGAACGCAAAAAAATTGGCGTGCATTGCAAGAAATCGATAAATAAAAATATTTTTGATTTGCAATGTGATGAATATCAATATATTTGAATACAATAAAAGAATATGAAAAATTTAGGCGAGCGTAGCGAGTCAAAAAATTTTGTTGATTACAAACAGAAAAATTAAATTTAATGTTATCTTGATCTATGGCCCATGGGCTTTCCAACCATACAACATTCGCGGCTAAAGGCCTTCCAGGCTAGAATTTGGAAATTACGTGTATATATAGCGAGTTCGACTTTTCAACACACTAATGTGGTTTCGTCACTCGCGCGAACTGCCGTCCGCTGTGATATGCATACAATAAAAGAACATGTAAAATTTTGGCCAAACATTTTTGTAGATTTCAAAGAGAAAAATTAAATTTAATGTTAAAACAAATGATATAAGTACAAAACACTTCTTTCGAAGTTCCCAATGTGACGCAATACTGCACATCTGAAATCTGAAAATGATCTGATATAAATTTTCAGTGACGCTTGCAATCAAATTCATGAACATTTTTAATTTTGCGTCGCC